AAGCTAAGGATTGCATGAAGAGACACAAATTTGGAGAAAAAGTAAGTTTTGGACAATGGCATTGCACAGTTTTACCCAACATTCAGCAGATAGCTCAGTGCTTGAGATGCAGACAAGTTTACTATGATCCTGCCTTTCTCTGGTGGTATTTTTAATCATCCCAAAAGAGTCAGCTAGTAACCTCAAATCTCATAAATGGAGAGTATAAGCAACTTACTTTTCTTGCAGTTCTGTATCTTTTTGGCCTTTATCTAGTTAGCAGAAGCATCCCTCCACCATGAATAAAAATAAAGAAAGAAAATATAATGACTGCAACATCATGAGAGTCCAAAAAAAGTTTGTCACCAAACAGACAAAGTTCTACCTGTCTTTGTCTTTCTGCGTGTCTTTTGGGGAAAATTCTTTCTTGCCCTCTAAACATATATGAGAAGTGAACTGCTCAAGCCTGTCAAAGTATCCTTATCTCTAGGCTGATGATGGATGGTAAAGCATTATCTGACATCCTTGACCCAGACAAGCAGAAGTCACTCACAGAAACTATCAGATTCTCTATCAAACAGCATGCTTTGGTTTTAAAACTTCATTTCTATTATTTAAGTTCCCTAATACTAATTCAGGCAACATAAAAATTCTGGTTTGGGAGGCTAAGGCAAGAGGATCCTGAGTTCAAAGCCAGCCTCAGCAAAAGCAAGGCGCTAAGCAACTCAGTGAGATCCTGCCTCTAAATAAAATACAAAATAAGAAATAAGGCTGGGGATGTGGCTCAGTGGTTGAGTGCCCCTGAGTTTAATCCCTGGTACAAAAATAAAATCACAAATCTTGGTAGAAAGGGGAAGGAAAAAGAAATAATGTTGGTTGTGCTTCTCTGAGGAATGTGAGGAGGACTTCAAATGAGCGTTTTGAAATCACCTACGTGTGTGAAGAGATGCGTTGTGTGCTTCACATCATTTTTCCTCTTCCTCCTTTTCTTTCTCTTCCTTCTTCATCATCCTCTTCCTTTAATGCACTAAATTGTAATGATCAAGCCACTTATTGGTTCCAAATGAATTAAAAGCTTTCCATCTTGGTCAGATTTCAAGTCTAAGCCTGTACAATGGCCAAAAGGGTCCTCCACACACTTAGACATTCCTCCCTCTAGGTATCACATTGCCCACCAACCAGCTTCTTGCTCTCTCCCAGGCTCCAGCCACACAGACTCCCTGTTATCTCTTGAAGACCCCGTCAGCAAGCTCTGCCTCAATGCTGTGCACTTCTGATAAGTCAGACTGCTTCTTCCCTGACAACCACAGACCAATGGCAATCTCCACACCAGGCCTTCCTGGGCCACCCTATTTCAATTTGCAACTCCTAATCCCATGTCCTCCTCACCCCCTGCTCTGCTTGATTTTTCTTTAAAGTCCTTATCTTCTGATGTATCATACAATTTTCTTATTTTTATTCATCACCAATCTGTTCATACAAAAATATGAGACATGGGTTTCTGTCATTTGGATTTCCTGCTGTGTCCCCAGAATATTACAATCGTGCCTGGCTCTAAATATGTGTAAGGGTCAGATATTAATATCTCCGTTCACAGGTGAGAGGTCAGGGCTAAGAAAACATAAGCAAATTTCCCAAGTCACATGATTAGAAAATGGAAAGGTTCAAAGTCCTATCTGGATCTGTCTGGCCCCATCATGCTATGATTTCTTCTGTTTTCATATAGCCAGTTAAATGCTTTCATGCAGTCAACAGGAGGGTTCCTTGCAGGGAGTTGCTGCTTTCTAGACTCTGAATTTTAGGTCATGGAGTCAGACTGTGAGGGACTTGTGGGAAAAGCCAAGAAGAGAAAGAAATAACATCAACAAAAGAGCAGCGGGGGCTCCTATGCCAACCCCTAGTGGCTCACAAGATCACTGAAAACCTTCTGGATGCCCAGACTGAGTCGCACACGGACAAACTGTGGGAAAACCAGTGACACACAAGCCAGCCAAGGGTTCCATTTAGACTGCACACACAGATGTCTAATTGGAGTTTGCGGTTTATTAACATAAGCTGCTTAGCCATTCCGAAATGGGAGCTAATCAAAATATTGCAAATGATGCACCTTGAAAAATGTCAGTCTTTATCATGATTACACTTCCATATTTTCCCCATTTGTTATGTGTGTGTTAAATCCTTTTAAAAAATTATCCTCTACTGAGACCAGCCTCTGGTGTGAGTCTGTGCTCAGAGGATCTGGCAGGAGCAGTATTGAGCCATATTTCCATGCAGCTTTATGTGCTGCACCTAACCTACATTTCTGTAGCAATAGGTTAGGAACAGAGCGATTTCCTGGCAATTGCAGCTCACACAGAGCCTTTGAGAGCCCTGCTCTCTTCCCTTTCTTTGCCAGTCACCGGGAAGTAAAGGTCATCAGAGGGAAGCAGATAATTATGCTGTCTCAGGAATCGGTGTTTTTCTCTGTGGACTCCTGGAATGTAATTCATTTCTTCAGTCTTTCTTCTTGAGTATTAACAAAGTCAACAAAAAAAAGGATTTTCATCCCCACTAGGACTTCCCAGCACTGAATGAGAAGCAGTCAGCATGAATTTTAATCAGACTGTCAGTTTTTCAGTCCTTCATTTTCCATAATCAATTTCTTTTGTGTATTAACTGAAAAGTGAATACATGGAGTTTGAGAATTGATGGAACCTAATACTTAGAATCCCACTCGATCACATTCAGAAATGAGCTCAGATGTGCTTCTCCATAGAGCCAAAATTTATGTAAGAGGTACATTGGAAGATAATTTTTTTTCCTTCTTAAAGTGATTCATTCCATGGTTTCTTTAAATAGGTCAGCTAGTGCTGTAAATTGATTTCCACAAAATGGAGTCAATTTTTCTTTTTTTCCTAGGGCTGATCATGTATAGTATAGGTAACATACATGTAGAATTTTTTTCCTTGTATTGCCTTTTCCCTTTTTTGTGCCTGTGTTCCTGCTGCTACCCTACCCCACTTACCTTTGTGAGGTTGTGAAGGAGGTCATTTTGCAAGGCCCATGTCCACCTGGGTGAATCAGTACATTGTTCTGTGATCAGCACAGCTCTGAAGAGATGGTATTTGATTAGTCTTCTTTTTTCACCAGACTTTAGTTAGGAGATATCAGCATTTCAGGGGACTTGTGGGGTCAGGGCAAACTTTTCCTTGCACATGCCCCTCCTGCTTGGTACACTCCATGATCACACTCCTCCTCCCATTCAGTGCCTGTCTTAATTGCTGTAGCTGCCATAACAAACACCTACAAGCCGAGTGGCATTAATGACAGGAATTTATTGTCTCACATTTCGGGCTAGAAAGCCAAGATGCTCAAGGTGACAAAAGGGTTTTGTGCCCTCTGAAGGTGCTAGGGCAGGACCTGCTCCAGCACTGTCTCTTAGCTTCTGGTAGCTGCTTGGCTTGTGCCAGCAGAGCTCCAGTCTTCATGTGGCATTCTCTAAGGACAACAGTCATGTTGGATTAGAGGCCAACTCTTCCAGGATGACCTCATCTTAACTCATTGTATCTACAATGACTCTATCTCCAAATAAGGTCACATTCTGAGGTAATGGGGCTAGGACATCAACATATGAATTTAGGAAGGGGCACAATTCAACCTATAACACTATTTGTTGTCTATTGTTGCTTACCCCAAAACTTAGTGACTTGAAAGAACATTTATTATCTCATGGTTCCTGTGATTTAAGAATCCAGGAATAACTTAACATGGCTACCCACTCTTGAATTTCTCATAAGACTTCAACCATGGCTATAGCCTTCTTAAGTCTCAATTAGGGACAGATTTGCTTCCAAACTCACTCAAATGATTTCTGGTAGGATTTGGTTCCTGGTAAGTTGTTGGAACAACTAGTAAACTACTGGCCAGGGGCATCTTTGGGCATGGGAAGCTCACAACAAATAGCAACAAGCAGCCATCAGGGCAAATGAGAGAGAGAGAGAGAGAGAGAAAGAGAAGGATGTGCATACCATATACACGTCACAGTCCAAGTGTTGGAAACATTCCAAAGGACAGGATTACACCAGGACATGGAATCCAGGATTCAGAGATCTTAGAAGTCATTTCAGAAGGTAAACCTGCCTTGGTTGGCGGGAGTCAGCCATCCTTCCTCAAAAAAGCTGGTGAAACTCCCCAGTAGTTTATTGTCTGACTTCCAACAGTAGAACTTCAGGAGTTGACTGACCTCTTTTCCTTTCATGCCATCTCTGCTTTTATCAGTCTAAAATGGCAGTGTTTCTGTTGATGTCATTGTCTCAAATACTTTGTGAGATCTTTGGAATCTTATTTGGGTTTACTTTACCAGAAAAGAAGTCATATCCACAAATCACTCTAAGAAAAGCCCTTTGGAACCTTTGGGGTCCTTCTGAGAAGGACCCTTATATCTTATTCTACTATACTCACAGTTTTCCTTGTTATGATGTGAGATGTTATGATGAGGTGAGGTGAGTGACATAGGCATTGTGATGTAAAGTTAGGCTATTTTGTAAGAATTACATGAATAAAAGCACTGCAGTACTGCAACAGCTGATCTGATGTGTAAGACAGTTGTTAAGTGACCATTGGGAGGGTACAATATACACCATGGAAATGCAAGACAGGAATGAATAATGTCCCAGATAGGATTGATGGAATGGTGCAGGATTTCATCATTATGCTTACCAGATTTAAAATTATGAATTATTAACTTCTCAAATTTTCCATTTAATATTTTCAGACCATGTTTGACTATAGGTAACTGAAATTGTAGAAAGTAGAAGTGTGGATAAAATACACTCGGAAGCCAATTTTTAAATTTTAGCATTTTTCTTCTTTCTGGAAAGGTTGAGAATTTTCCAAGTGATCAATCTTGGTTCCCTTTTGCTCAACAGTTCTTCCTTTAAAGCATCATTCTTAAAACTTACTATAACCAGCATGAAAAAAATCAGATAACACCTGTCACACTTTGAAAATCTCCTCAGCTCACTAAGTTGGTCAGGGCAGAGTTGCAAAGCAGAAAATTTATTCAAGCAACCCCTCCCACAATATCTGAACCTTCTCTGTGATGCCTCTCTGTTCTTCTGTGCCCTGCCCACTCCACCACTGGTTTCATTGATCTTTACATTTCCCATCTTCCTAGGCCAAAGTGTCCAGCACCTCCAATCTGACAAGTGTCTTGTTCTCAATAGCTCAAATATATTTGATTCCTTGGAAACTTGGAAGTCCATGATGACAGAGATTCTTCATGTAAACAAATCATTGATGATGTTTTATTTGGCTAATGTGTTATCTCATTATGAAAGGTTAATAATCTTGAGAACTGTTTGCTAATCTTGTTCCCAGAATGTGCTGTCCCCAACTGCCAAACTGCAGAATGTATTCCCTCACCCGGTTGCAGGCAAACCGCCCACTCGCCCTGACCCATCAATGAACTTCCCTCCCTGCCCTCTCCAAGGAAAGTATATAAGCTCTGCTTAAGCTGTTCTCAGGGCTCTTTGCTCTATTCAAGTGAGCTGTGAGCCCCAACATGCTGGACCCCCAATAAACCCTTTGCTGTTGCATGAGACAGTCTCTTGGTGGTCTCTTCCTCTGATGCTCGCCTGACCTTTACAATTATCTTATCTTAATTAGAGTTATATATTAAATTTATATGATAATACAAAGTTAAAATTCTAGATTTCTATCTGGATAGCTTTATTTATCACTAATTTTCCCACTAACAAAGGACATTCATTAACTCCTTTATACTTCACAAATGTCCTATGCAGTAGATGTCTAACCCCCAATTTAGAAGTTAGAGGACTGAGGCTCAGAGAGGTGAAGGAATTTTCTGTGGATTACAGGACTCAGGTAGTATCCAGTGACACCCCACAGCAGTGTACCTCACTTTGCATCATGGGGCAATCGGGAGGATACCTTCATAAGGAGTGGGAGATCATGGCGGGTTTTTAGTAAGATGATTCCTACTCATGGATGAGTTGTTCCCACATCATTTAGTTAGTCTTATGCAGATACTATTGATATTGATGTCCTCCGTAGAGGACTTTGATCCACACCTGGATGCCCTGGAGATTGTCACACTGACCACAGCCACTAAGAGCCTTTCCGTGCTCATACGTTGGTTTTCTCTAGCCTCTTCTTTGGCCTATCAGCACATTTATAAGAGAATTTGGCTGTGTTGACAAAATGTGCTGACAGCTTTCAGTAGTGAATATGGACATCTGCTGAAAGTTTTGGCTGTGTTTGTAGTGGGTGCTGGTTAGCACATAAACTCTGAGCCTGAAGGAAAAAAAGAAAAGAAAGCTGGTTATAGAATTCTCTCTTTCTGCAGATTTGGCATTTTGAAGTTTGTTGTTATTTAGATGAGACTCACAAAAAAACTGATAATCTTAGAATGGAAAGACAAACAAGGTTGAATCTATTTCTGGTGTAGTCCTTTGAGCAGACCATAGGATTTTAGCATGTTGGAGGTGAAGAAGATCTAGAGAATGGGTTTGTCCTTTTAATCATTGAATAGATGAGGAATCAGGCTCAGGAAATGAAATGACACTTGAAATGTATCCATTCTGGGGCAAATCCTGGCATAGATTTTAACTTAATGATCTTTGTATATTCATTCATTGCATCACATAATGTTTGGGGGGGGTTGATGATAATATAATTGTTGTCAAATAATTTCTTGTTAAAACTGTATTATACATTATTACTATTTTATCTACTAGCCTGCCAGCTAGAGTCTATCTCAATCTCTCAGGGGCCTACATGTGGGTAGACTATCATGTCTCTTCCATCACCCTCCTGCAACCTTCATCTCTGTTGTAGCTTGGAACCTCCCTCTTCAGGGAGGGCTGCACCCCATTCCCTTGTAGGTCCCACTCTTCTCAGATATATACCTCACAAAGTGTGTGGGTTGTTTTATTCCAGTCTTCACCACTTTCCGTTCCTCTAACCTCCCCACCTACCACACCAACACAAGCTTTTACCAACTCAGGCCTTCATCCCATTCTGCCTGAGGGCCAGGTTTGGGCAGCAGCCTTTCATTTCCAGAGTTGATGACCTGAGCCTATTAATAGTTGATTGACATTGGCCTTCAGGTTTTTAAACAACATGTACCCCAGGCAGTCTGCTTGTGAGCTGAAGGGGCTGAAGACAGTATATCAAGAGTTCTGACATTTTCTCTTCATCTGCTGCCTAAGCCGATAGGTACTAAAATGTTCAAGATAGAGGTATAGATTCTTTGAACACAGTAGTGGTCCATCTCTCTAAAAAATTATCCTTCATGTTTCCTCCTTTTGTTTTCTGCTTGGGAGAAAATTAATGGACTTTACATAGCTATAGAATTATTAAAACTATGAACTATGATTTACCCTTAAAATATATCTGAAATCAGATACTTTTGATGATTCTGGACCAACATTGTCCAAAAAAAATGTTTTGTGATCATGGAAATGTTCTATAATTACTCTATATAATAAAGAACAACTAGATACCTGTGGCTGTTAATACTAGAAATGTGACTAGTGCCAGCAGGGAAATGAATTTGTATCTGTGTTAAATTTAAATTCTTTGTATTTAAATAGCCACATGTGGCCATTGGATACATAGTGGGAAGTATAGCCTAGATCATTTCAGCTTCCCTTTATTGGAGAGGTTAGTATGATATACTTATCAGTATTAGTCTACCTCCAACCTCCACCATCTTTATGCTACTTTCCATTGTTTCTATCATGATCCTTTACTTCTCTTGGAACAGGTAGAACCAGAACTGCTCTTGTTTTCTGGAAAGTATCACTTTTTGTCATCTCTCTCTCTCTCTCTTTTTTCTCTCTCTCTTGCTTTCTCTTCCTCTTTCTTTCTCTTTTCTCTTCCTCTCTCTCTCTCTCTCTCTCTCTCTCTCTCTCTCTCTCTCTCTATTTCTCTTTCTCTCTGTCTCACTGTCTGTCTCTCTGTGCCAATTATGCAAGACTCATTAATCAACTTAGCCTAAAACTGAGATCAATGTAGAATGTGAAAATAAATAAAAGGCAACATTTGTTTTTTCACTCTATGTACCAGCTATATAATACTTCTATATATTAACTCACTTCTTATATTAGCTCTTCTGTCACTGCAGCCCTGTGAAATCTATGCATATGATATAATAATATCTATTTTATGGATCAGGAGATTAAGGCAGAGGACACAGGTTAGTATTTGCTAGAAGTGGGATTTGAGGTCAAACATTTGATGATAAAACTTACTCTCTGACAACATTGCAATGCCTCTTCTCTGCAGAGAAATTCCTGGGATACCACTTTGAACCCTCTCAGTGGTTGCCTTGTAAGAATTGGGCTCTGTAAATTAAAAAGCAAACAGATAAGTTTTCTATTGCAGTAATGCAACACAGTCCTGACGCTAATAAATCAGTGTACAGATCCTACAAGTTAAGGGCTCAGCCTTCAACGAGACCACCCACACTTCAGATATCAGCTACAAGCTCTGAGAGCTCTGAGCTCACCTGTCCTTCTGACAAACTGCCTACAATTTTGGGAGTTTCCACTACTACTTTAAGCTCAATAATTCACTGGAAAGAATCACAAATTTCAGGAAAAAGCTACACTTTTCATTATAACTTTATTATAATGGAAACAAATCAGCCAAATGAGGAAGTGTGGAGAACAAGGTCTTAGAGAGACCCCAGCATGGAGCTTCTGTGCTTTGTCTTTATGGAATCAGGACACGTTGCCCTCCCAACACTCTGATGTATTCACTGACCAGGGAGCTCAACTGAATTCTGGTGTCCAGAGTTTTCATTGTGGTTTCATTATTTATGTAAGATTGCTTGACTCATTGGCTATGTGATCTTAATCTCCAGCCCTTCTCTTAGCTGGTATCATATGGCCTCATCCCTCAACTCATGGTTGATCTTAACAGCATAGCTAGCCTCCTCCTGAAACTAGGGATTCATCAAGAGTCATTTCATTAGCATAAATACCAAGGTCTACCATGAATAGCAAAGATCATTCTGTAATTCGAGAAATTCCGATGATTAAAGACCTCCATCTCAGAGTCTGAGATAAATGCTGGGCTAACTCTTCATTATACATACAGAAAATTTTCTTTCAAATGATTAAGAGGAAGGTTAAGGACATAAGCATGTCTAATTTTTTAGTGGTTCTTGGACACATTCAAATACATTATTTCATTTTATCCTAATGACCCTCCTATGAGGAAAATATCATTGATGTATTTGTTTTATAGATGGGTAAAAGAGGTTTAATGATGACATTATATAGGAACATCCAAATAGTGGATGTTGGATGTTAATAATTGACGTGGAGTTTAGATCTGTTAATTATAAGTCTTTGGCATATATAAGAATAGTCAAAGGGCTAATAATAGAGATAGGGATGCTCTAAATACTAATTTTTCTTATCTGAAAATGCAGAATAGGAATGGGCTTTCCCAGGATAGGATAGTAAAGGAGAAATGTGAAGATTTGGGAGTTAGTCTTCTTCCTAATTTGGCAACTGACTCCTTTCCTGGTTTTCATGTGTTTATTTAGGAAAAGGTTATGTATCACTTGTAGTGCTTGTTATAAGCATTGAAACTACAGAAAGAAAGAGACACAGTTCCCAGGCTTATTTGATGGGAGCAAAGACCGTGAACAACGTATTGTAATATGAGATGGTTAATGAAATAATCAAGGAAAGCACTTAGGACTGGCACCCAACTAGGAAAAAGGGGTGGTGGATAAGTGCAGCACAGAAAGTTTGGAAGAGAGAATGCAGAAACTGAAGCTTAGAAATAAATAGGAATTAACCAGGCTTCCTGTTCCATAGGTGAATGGAAAGGGGAGCTGGGCTCTTTGGACTTCAGTCTAGGAGACTAATGCATACTAATGATGCCTCCAAGGCTAGCACTCTGCAGGTTCCTGTTCTGTTTGCATTTGCCTACTGTGGCTAAAGTCTGCACAGGATGCATGGAGTCACCCCAGAACAGGGGATTGGGGCATGAAGCTGCAGACCTCAGGAATAGCAAGAATATATATGTCTTAGGGGCTCCTTCAAGTTTTTTCATTTGTGAAATGATGATATCGGGCTTTCTTAGACAATCCCTGGGGTCCCTTCTGGCTCTAACATTTCATTATTTTGAGGTTTTATGAAAAATGTTTTGCAGAGCAAATGAATAGTGTAAACAAGATTATAAAGAGAATATTTGCCTTCTTAAGGGACTAAACTGTTCTGAAATACATCAGGAGCATTCATTTGCATATAAACAACTCAAATTCTATATAAGCAGAGGAGGCTTATTTTCTTAGGTGTTTTGGTAAATTAATTACAAATCATTCTTATCAATTTTGCTAGTCTATGTCTATTAAGAAGTAAGCTGCATTCATTTTAAATACCCTGTACTTTTGAATGTTCTTCATTTCTGTCTATAATACCTGACTTTTCTCTGAATTAGCCCAATTATCTTCAAGTATATCTTTATCCCTTAGGTTATAGTATATAGGATTTGTTTGTTCAAGAACTTATATAGATTCACCTTGTGCTTATTAGAAATCAGAGATGTCAGCTGATCCCATCCCACCTTCAGTTCATCTTGAACTGACATAGGACTACATGTTAAGGGTGAAAGCCAGGCCTTCACTTTAAACTCTCAATGCCTTATGTTCTTTCTGCATCTTTCTCCCCTTATGCATTTGATTGTGTCTTCCTCCTACCCTGCCCCTGTATCAATTAGACTACATAGAATTACACTAAAAACTAATACTTTGCCAAAAATTATTTGTTTAGACAACTATTTAAGATTTGTGCATCGTTCAGAGAGAGCACTGTACACAGTACAACACCACCTGCCTGGCTTCACTGTCTCTCTGTCTCATTCCCTGCTCTCACAGTCTTTTTCTCTTCTTTTTGTTCCCCAAACCCTTCAATCTCCTGACATACAACCTTCCTGGAAACAGAACACCAGAACCCTTGTCTTTAACCCAGAAATTTAGTGATCACTTCCTGCAGCTTTTGGCTATTAAGGTTTTGTTCTCCATTCCCAAGTGTCTACTGAAAACATCCCAAGTACATTTTGTGGTGTCAGGGTGAATTCAGAAAAGGATACGTGGAAGAGGCATGCTTCCACACAGAATGAGAGGATGTGGGCAAGGGAAGGGAGCAGAGGTGAGTTTCCAGACAGAAAGAAGAGTCTGTGCAAACTGAAACAGTACAGGAGAACATGGCAGGTTTAGGAACCTCAAGTAATTCTCTGGAGTCATGGAGATGTAGGGTAATCCTGAAAGGTTCACTTACAGTAGATGGCACTAGAGAAAAAGGCAGCAATCACATCATCAATGACCTTTGTGTATTGTGCAAAGATATTTTATTTTCTCCAGGAGGTGTTGGGCTGCCGGCATAGCACTGAACCTCTAGTATGATGGTTGCAAAGGTGCCAGATAAAAGACTAGTACAAATGTCAAGAGCCTGGAATAAGGTATGGGTCACTGGATGCAGAGGAAATAGCATATTCAAGAGTCAAACCAGTCTAGGCAAAATCTAAATTTCTGCCTTTAAGATAGGGAATACAGGGGTAGGAGGAGGGGTACAGAATAGAAAGTAGAAGATATAATTTCACTTGGTTTATCATTGGTACTATTTTGATAAATTGAGCAAAGGTGTTAATTTCTTGGTATCATTCACTTTCAAGTGACAGATTGAATAATGTCAAAGTCATGACTGTTTAGCAACATGGTTGTGGAAAATGTCTGTGACTCCTCTGCATCTAACAAATTTATCCTTATCATTTCATTTGAGCCATAGACATGGTGGTTTTTGGTTTGTTTGTGACTGTGAACTTACTATCTGGCTATCAGAAGCTAGACTTTCTAATAACTGAGAGTGCTCTGCTTTATTTTTTAATTGATTTATTGGACAATTTCAATTTAGTGTGTGACAAATAAATCATTAAACTTCTCTCTAGCTACTCCCTGCGAACACATGGTGGTCAAATCTCTTTTTCTGTACTTCTTCACCTTGATAATGTCTCAGGAAGATTGTGTATATTTCTTGGCATTTTTGAGGGTGAGATCACTTTCAGTAGTTTAACCTGTCTGCATAAAGACTTCTGTCTGATACCCAGCTCAGAGCATCACCCCTCTTGTAGGTCATTGTAAGTCAGGGTGTAGAAAAGAGAGGATAGTGGAAAGAAGAGGAATTTTTGGTACTTAACTGGTTTTGCAGGTGTGATTCTCATCTGACTTGTCCTGCAGGCCATCACATCCCTGTAGGGCTAGAGCTCCAGTGGGGTCTGGAGTTCACAGAAATTAGATGCAGCTCCATAATTCCCTGACACGGAAACTTCTCTTTTAGTGGAATGTTGGTATCCATTCAAAATGGCTCTATTTTTTTTCTAATTACATTCCATGATACTAATAAAGTCTCTCTTAACATCTAGTTACTTTTTTTTGGTAAATATGCAAAAATGAAACAGAGGTCACGTGGGCATAATGTTTATTGTTATATAGAACATTTGGTGGATGGACTATGTGACTGGCGTATATAGGATGCAGCTGAAATTGTACCTGTCAATCAAATCAGATTTAAGACTTAGAGAACAAAGATTGTCCCTTACTGCAAATAGAAACAATATAACAATTTTTTTCTCATGCTTTTCTTCAATTTTCTATTTAAAGAAATTTCTGAGAATACATGAATTATGCAGTTTATCTCTCAGATGAAAAAGAATTTTCCTCTTAGATTGGATGGCTGCATATTTATTAATAGCTATAAAATTTTCCATGTTCTTTTGTTTCAAATGGAATGCTGACTAAAATCTGAAGGATCCATTCCAGCAATGATAACAGTAATGCATGAATAATTATAAAAGCTATATGGAATTGAAAGGTATTTTAATTTGTCATTACTTCTATGTGTTCAGAAAGGATCCAAATAATTATGCTGACTATAAAAAGGAAACCAATGATATTTTCACTCATTATGGGATTAAGTTCTTAAAATACCACATTTACTATAAGTTGAAAAAAAAAAAACCTCTCATCTAGTCTCATCTAATGATGTAATCATGACTGAAGACAGCTCAGCTGAGGATTCATTTGGTCTTTTTACTATGACACAGAGGTGCTATGCTTCAAGCTCATTTTAATTTGAGAAGTGTTCATCTTTGCAGTTTATAAAAGTGAAATTATACTTGTTTGCTCAGTGTGAACTTCCAACCTTTGTGTCACATTAATTCATGAAGATGAGAATGACTGTAGAATTTCCTTAGGTCATGACCGGATGGTGGTGGAAACTGAATGTGAGATTTTTAAAACAGAATTTTTCTCTTTATAGCAACTATTACAAAATGGCTGTGCTTACCTGGATCATTCCAAGGCAAAATTTCAAAGCTATTTTTTTTTAAATGCTTATAGTCTTCATTTTCTTTTGGTCTTCATTCTACCAACAACATTCAAATTCTTATTCAGATCCTAGAATATTCTATGACAGCACTTTTCTTGGAAAATGAGATTTCAAGATATGCTGTATGTTTCTAGGTGAGTCAATAGACTTTTCCTTTGTAGCTTTTGAACTTTGAGTTATTAGATTTCTATTAAGGCATTGGATCTTAGTGATGAGGGACACGAAAGTCTACAAAAGGGTTCTAACCCACTCTAGCACTTGCACCACACTCTTCCCTAAAATATGGCCTTAAGGCTCACAGTCAGCTACTAGAAGACACTATTTTGACAGCCTTGTTTCAGTCAGAACACATCACTACCATGAGCGAAATCCCCTGTACATTAATGTCAAACAAAGCTCTGTTGCCCCCTAATTTGGTTTTATTTTTCAGGATTCAGATTCTGTCTCTAACAGCTGTATGATTATATGCTATTGAGTTAGCTAATTTAAGCCTTAGTCTTCTCACCTTCAAAAAGAGGAAGTGGCACTCAGCTTAAAGGAGTTGTGGGGATTAAGTCATGATGTAGAATAAATATGAAATGACTGACACATAGTAGGTATGTAATAAATGGTAGCATCTTCTAAACAGAAAGAAAGAAAAGTAATTAAAATCCTTTAAAATCAATACTTTTTTGAGAAAAAATCCAGAAACATTTTTTTCCCTATTAACAGAAAATTCTGAATGAATGGAGAAGGAAGCCAATGTTACTTTGAAATATAAGTGTTAACAACATTGTTCTCTGCTCTGAACAATTTGTTACATTGTTATATCTGAAAATTAAAGATAGATATATGCAGCATGCCATAAGTAAAAATAAATTTATTATTTTTATGTTTGGAACATTTGGAATGAATTTAGTGTCTGGACCGGCCATGTAGAGGTATAAATTTTCTTCTACATACATGGAAATAGCATTGGTAATTGAGTTATTATACACACAAGGTTATTTAACACCTAAAAGATTCACTGTATAAATTCAGCTTTATCGAAATTTGATGGTGGAAATAATGTGGAGGTGGAGGTGGGTGGAGGCAGGCAGAGAGAAGAGAGGGGCATTGGAATATGTAATATGAAAGAAGGTAAGACTGTGTTCCTTTCTGTCTTATAGCCTGAAGAATAAGTAGTGAAAACATCAATCAAGAGATTTTAAAAATGCCAGCATTTCTCTGCTGTGGAGAATCGCTTATCAACCATTAGAGGAGGATCCCTTCTTGAACAATGAACATTTCTTATGAGGATTCACAGATTAACATATGACTAATCTTGATTTTGGAAAGTGAATGAGATTTCTTTCTTTCCTTTTTTTTAAGTTTTGTGGTAAGTCATGATATTTGGCTTGATTTTTTAAAATAATTCTTTCCTGATAACATATTTAGCACATGTTCTAAATTATAATCCTATAGCAAACAGTTGGAGCATTATTCAAACTTACAAAGAGTGAAAAAGTCTAATTTTCAATTTATTCTAGATTTCCTCAGAGTATAAATATTCTATGAAATCCTTGATGATTGTGATGTAAATCACTTCTATCCAGAAATAAACATTCTTTTGTCATCATGTTGAACATAATCGGTGGCAACATGCACAAATCTGAACAAATCATTATTAGTAGAAGATATATAATGGAGAAATACCAGTCCTTCACCTTCAAACACGTGAGCCAGGCTTGCCATCTGAATGAGAGCAAGGAGGATGAATAAAGGAAGAATCTTTATCCTTTTCTTCTGATCACTCCAAGGATGGTTTCTCAAGGTGAAGCCAAGTCTTCTGCAAGCTGCCAAATAGTAGCTTAGGAAAAGAATTAGTTTGCTTGCATGATGATCCTCTTAGGCAAAAATGACTTCACAGCAGTTCACCTTGGTAAAATCTTTTACTGAAGGCATCCAAAAAAAAATCATGTACCCCAGAATGAGATGGAAATTTGCATTTCTTATGAAGCTGGCCTGAATTGTGGGTATTAATTTGGGGTACTGATGATCTGAAATGAAGTAAAGAAATCCTGATGAAACAGCAGCCTTGGGTAGGACAAGGTCCCCTATTTCTTCTGTTTCTCATCGAAGTCCTGTTGCTGAGCCAAGAGTCCATCACTTTGGGAAGAACACCACTGGATAGAATGACTGGAAAAATCACCCCTCTATGATGGGGAACATCTCTGAGTACAAATCATAAAGTTCTTTCTCCAGGTTTCATTCCCCATGGTGACCAGAAGTGGTGTCTTGCAGGCTGGCTACAAGCCAGGACATTTGAGTTTCTATTCAGGATGCTATCAGGCTCCAGCTGGAATCTGGCCAGGGCTGCCCTTTGCACCTTGTGACCCACAGGTGGTTGATCTCCAGGTGGGCATCCTTTGTTTTCTGCGGAGAGCCAAGGTGGTTATAACTCAGTGAGCAATAAATGAAATGACACAGAAATGCACAGTGTTGTTATTAATGTGCCTGTTTTCCTGTGTTTGGAATTTGGCACTCTTCCCTTGAGGAGGGTTCACTCAGGAGGGACCAGGGCTGCCAGTTTCTGTGTCTGCAGAAGAGAAAAAGCCACACCAGCCACATGTGGCCCTGAGGGAGGGAAGGAGGGTTTGATGGGAGGATATCTATTTTGCTGTTTTGGAAAGAAGCACACAAAACAGAGGTATAAACCTCTGGTGATGGCTTTTTTTTTTTTGAATGTGTAAAATAAAGCTTTATTTGTCAATTCTGCTGTAAAATAAGCATTGTCTGAGTTTAAAAAAAAAAGAATCTTTGTTTCTGTTTGTGTTTAGTGACTGAGCTCATGCCCTGAAGTGTGTTTATTTTTCTAATAACCTAATATAGAAAAGCCTATGAACACAGATTTCTTTTGCTTTACAGAAATGCTATGCCAGACTCTTTATAGATAAGCTTTCAGCTATAATAATCAGATTCTTTCAGAGTTGCTCATCTAAATACCATTGTTCTTTGGCAACCTGCCAAGTGAAAGTGACTACCCTGCCAGAAGTTTTGTCTGTTTGATTGTTCCCTAGTTTCTTTCTTTCTTTTTTTCTCATGCAGATGAGGAAAATTATCTTTCCAGTGTGCCATGTATATTCAGCTTTATGCTGGAAGGCCACATAAGTGTTGTTTATATTTTGGGAACTCTTGAATAGAAACATCTCTACTTGGGAAGCTACCTGTTTCTTGTTCTTTGTTTTGGTATGGCTACATGTGTTCAATTAAGTCATAATTCACTTTCTAATTTTATTATGAGTGGGGGAGAATGTGATGTCAGGTAAATGTTTCCAAATGGCTAATTAATTCCCACAGAGAGGAAAGAGACTTGTGCAAACCTGGCTATGTCCCTGTCTTATGGTCCCATCAGCCCTGGAGCTTCTTTGATAGACATATGATTATAGCACATGAGAAGTTGAGTCAAAGGATTTTCTGTAAAATATCAATTCCAGTGAACTTAAGAAACTCATCTAGTTAGAAAAGAGAAACTATCTAAACTATCAGTAAGTGAAGTACTTTTGTTATTCCAGAATCCTTGGAGTAATGTTAATTAAACTAAATAGTCCATTTAAAGTTTTCCTGCTATAAGAGAAAAATGATTTAAAATTACAACACACACACAAACCCAATGTCCCCCTTATATTAGCGAGTAATGATTTATATTTAAAAGAACACTGTTAAGTTATTGAAATGGTCCATCTTCTTGTGTGTGTGTGTGTGTTTTATCATTTTGTTTGTTTCTTTTGGTGGTCCTGGGGATAGAACCCAGGACCATGGCATGCTAGGTAAATGTTCTGCCACTGAGCTACATGTCCAGCCCATCTCTCAAAGAGATAAATCATTCTTTACAGTTCTGGTCATGCAATTCAAATTCACTTTACAAAAAGGTCTTCCTCTGCAGTGCATTGAAAAAGCTTCAGGCTAGCACCTGTGCCATGGCCACAAATGCCATGGTAGTGAAACCCAAATTAATGAGCTTTCTTTATATACAGTCTCCACAGCCCAGTGAACTAATAAATATGGTCATAAAGCAATCTGCTAAGTATCGAGGACTACAGTGATTCCTTCTGCTGATAAAAATAGTCATAAAACTCTCGTCTGCTGTTGCTGGACTACAAAGACCAATAGAATTTGTTTTTCATTGGCCTCTTAGATGACATCCAAACATAAATTAGCTTGCCAAGAATTTTCACACCTTTCTACTGAAGTGAGTTTATTGGACCAACCAGGCCAAAAGACAAAAAATATAAAATACATGCAAAATGTGAATGCTCCTGTAGGGAAATTTGAGCTCTGGTGGTAATGGGGTTGAGAGAGTGGGGGTGTTCACATTTCTTGCAGATTTGATTTTTGAGTGAGGTGCTTCTGACAGTTTAGTGTGAATATTGAATATTAGAACCCCAATAAGAAAACAAACTTTCTAAACTGCCAGGGAATAAACTTACACTCTCCACATTCCATCCAAACTAAATATCTATTGTTTGTTTGATCAACTTGTCCAAGGAATTGATTGTTTTTCTTTTGTGACCAGAATAAGAAGGGTCTGATCAACATTTTATTGTGGTGACAGATTTTTTTTTTCTTTTTCTGGTTCTTAACTAATTTGTTAATATTAAAGGCATGCTAAACTACCTCATAGGTTTATTGTGTGGATTAGCTAATTAATAATAAACAACAAATGCATCAAATGTAAATCTCTATATAAATGCTGCCTTAATTTGTTTCCAGAGTGAGATATGCTGTCAAATCAACTGTCTGAATATTTTATCGTCATATTCATGTTTATACATTTGGCTTGGAATTTAATATACAAAAACAAAATGAAATCCTGAAATTTCCAGCATAGACTGAGGGCATCAAACCCAAGACTGGATAATACAAACCTAGTGAAACAAACAAATAAACAAAACACCCAGAAGCACATAAAATGTTAAAAAAAATCTCAGCAGGGGAGAATTAGCATTGATTTTAAAGAATAGATGGAATAATTCCATATTATAATTGTTAAATGGTTCAAGTTTTTCAGTGATTTATATTTAAAAAAGTGGGTTTAAGGTTGGTACCTAACACTTAATTCCTTCACATGCTAAATAGAAGATTAAGGAAAGACAAAACAGCACATATTTCTGAATACCTGCAAGAGAGTCTGTGCAGGTGAAAATCTGCCTGTGATTGTATCATCCAGAGAAACCATTAACATTTTTTAAAAATATATATATTTTTAAGAATATAACCGAAAGAGGAAAGAAATGGAATTAATATCTTATGGTTACTTAGAAGCACTCTCTGAAGGCTGTGTGGTAACTAGTTAAAAAAATAATTTTACTGCTGGCTCTACTTTGCTGCCATTTCACCCTGTATGATTAATTATTCCTTAATCACTATTATGAGTAGCAGTTTTATTTGCTAATTTCAAATGCCTCAACTCAATTAGTAATACATTCTGACCTTTAAAAACCGCATTCTATAATCTTCAAATTATGAGTGAAGAAAAAAAAAATCTAATTTTACTTCTACCAACCCTCCAACTACCATTGGTTACATTGCTTCTTAAGAACAGTTCAACTACTGTCATGTATCAGACTTTTAAGGCAGTGGGGGTTGTTTCAAGTCCAAGTCCAAGTTCCCATGGGGTCACAAGGATCAGAAAGGGCTAAGGATGATTCCACTTGAGAGAGTTGAGGTTAATGTACAATGCAGCGCATTTGGCTGATAAGTTTTATTTATTTATGTTTACTTAAAGAAAAAGGTGAAATCACAACATGCAATTAATGAATTCCCTTATTGCTTTCTTTTGAGATTTCTCTACAAATTTCTACTTGAGTTATTGCTCTTCATGTAATTAAATGCAATTTAAGGCTTCCTCTGTGTTGCCAAGTCAATGGTCAAAGATTCTATTGTGAGATCGATCTTTTAATGTGTATTCCCTTATTTCTTGAAATTAATTTCATTATTGGTGGACTGTTAACCAGGGATTAGTGTTATTGATGATTGATTGCCCAAAGAGTTGCCATGTCTAAAGTGTTGACTCTCCAAGAAGTCAACCCCACCTCCCATGAATCTACTATTTTGCCTATGAATAGTCACCAAAAAACTAATAATGGGAGGATGTGGTTAGCTTCCATGATACTAGTTCCAAAGAAATTATCAACACTACATATGTATTAGCAATGTAGTAGGAATAGTTTTCTACTTTGTCAAAAACATAATCTCTTTGTCTGGATTTGAGAATAATGGAAAGAAGGATAATCATTGTATAAGGAAGGGAATCTACATCAATATGTAGTCTTCCTAGACAAAGCTGCCAGCATCCTGGGGACAGCATAATCTGAGGAGAAAAGATAGACCCCCATTCCCAGGTATCTATGGTGGTTGACATTAGATGCATCAATGTGGATTAAGTTTTTCCTCCTTCCTGAGAATTAATTCTCATTACTTGTTAGCTCCATTTTCATGTTGATTGACATTAAAAACTGCATTTTCAGAAGTTTGTGAAGTTTTGTCATTTTGACCTTTTTTCTAACCTCTTTTGCTTAACTATAGCATGCTGCTATTTAAAAAAAAGTAACTGGTGACACGAAAATAAATTCAATATGTGGAGAATATGTGGCATTTTGGGGACTTTTTTAAAAGCCAGGAAATTTCCAATTTTGACTAGATATATTTTTATAATATTTACTCTGCATTATCTCCTACTTTGCCAATTAATTTAAGGCCAATTACAAGCCCATTTCCTACCTCTTTATATAAGCTCCCATTTCTCAGTGTCCTTTAGGTATAGAGAGTTTAATTGTGATGAAAGTTAATCAAGTATCCTTGCAAGCTATCCATGGGGGTCTGTGATCAGATGATGTCCCATCTTCATCAACCATTTGCTTCTTTGATAGTGTCCAGGTATAAATGAATTGAATAAGAGACTTTTTTTTTCTTTTCCCTGACACTCACTGGTTCAAAATCTGCTTGGCTTCCCATATGCATGGTAAGTCTTTTTCTGTGTGAACTTGGCCTCAGTTCTTGTACATGTTTATATAGTAACACATGTCTTAGTTATTTTAGGGCCTCTTCTCTGTCAATATAATACAAGAAAGAGTGTGATCTGTACTTTTAGGACATTTCTGATATTATCTTTTTGTTGGAATTTAAAGAGAACAAATCATTTTTCCTCTGCAGTTATCTTCTTTAGCTAAAGTTCATCTGAGGATAGGGATGGGAACTCCTGAGAGTAAAAACAAAACAAAATAAAACAAAACCAAAGTGATTTCTCTTTTTGTCAACTCCAGCAATACAAATTACAACAAATAATAAAGGGATCATATGTGTTTATCTTTTGTGTATAAGTTTAGCAATGACTTATTAATATAAAGTTCCTGACAAAATTATGCTGTTGTGGAAATGTGATATAGATTCAGAAAATCCTGGATTTAAGATATGATTTTGCCATTTATTTTCTTTTGGATCTTGTGCAAGTTATGTAATTCTTCTGAACTGTGGTTACTCAGTATTTAATGTGAATCTCATCCAGTTTCTTCTTATACAGTGATGTTCAACAAATGCTGGGTATTTCTTCTTCCCTCTGCTTGACCATCTAACTAGCTAATCATCATTCAGTGTCACATGGAGCTGGCCAAAGAAGATCTGGAAGAGATTTAAAACCATCTTGTCTGTATTCCTCATTTTGATCATTCTCATTTTTAAAAATATGTGATGAAATAGCCTTAAATGGGAGAGGGCCACTGGTAGTATAACACCTATAGGGAGTAGCTTCCCTGTAGAACAGAAGCCAGAGCATTCCAGGTGCTATCCCTGTGACTCCCACCCCCACCAGACTCATGCATCCTGCTAGAACCCCTCCCTCTCCTTGAGCTTGATGCTGCTCTACCTGTCAG